TCAGGAGACTGAGGCATGAGGCTACCAAGTTCAAGACCAGCTTAGGCTACATAGTGAGTTCAAAGTCAAGCTGGACTACGCAGCACAAGCCTCTTTCAAAGCAAAACTGCATCTGAACACAGTGACATACACCTACAATCCCAACACTCAAGAGGGTGAGGTGGGAGAATTAAAGTTTGGAGCTGGCCTGCCTGGGCTACATAGTGAGTTCAGGACCGGCCTGAGCTACATAGTGAGACCCTGCCTTAAAATAAAACAGAACAGAACAGAACAGAGCTTGTCCAACCTTTTTGGAAGGCAGCTTGGCAGGACCTCTTTCTCAGTGGTAAATATGTAAATTCTCTTTGACTCAGTAGACTCTGGGCAGGAACCAGGGCCAAGGTGGACCGTGACACCCCCCCCACCCCATGAGCCATCGTCAGCTGGGCAGGAGAGGGCGGGCTGACTGATCAACAGGAGCCTTGTGCACTTGGCCGTGGGAGGCTCAGGCGGGCCGCGCCACTGGGCTGAGGTCTTGGAACCCTTATGGTCTGGAGTGACCGGCTGATAGCCGCAAGGAGCCTGACACACATCGATCTGCCTGGTCAGCTGCCTGGCTGGCTCAGCTGCCCGCTGGTTCCACAAATACCGGGAGTCCAGTCACCAGTGAATCAGCACCCACTGCCCTTGGCCAGCAGGTTGGGAGGTGGCACGACAGACTCTGCCTGGCGCAGGGTGACCGAGAGTGCGGGCCAGCTGGGAAGCTGCCCTCAGTGAAGCAGGCAAGAGTGACATTTCCTGGGCCTACCTCAGTTCTTCCTTTGTCTCTTTTGAGAACTCAATTGCTTATTTATTTTGAAGTACTGAGGATTCAACCCAGGACTTTGGCAATGAGCTACATCCTCAGCCCTTTTGTTTTTAATTTTAATTTTTGTTTTTATTTTAATTTTAAAATAGGGACCAAAAAAAAAAAAAAAAAGGAGGGCCGGGGATATAGTTTAGTTGTATAAGTACCTGCCTGGCAAGCACAAGGTCCCAAGTTTGATCCCTGGTATGAGAAAAAATGGAAACAAAGTTTTTGTGGATAGAAGGGAAGAGGGGCTGAAGGGAGGGGAGGGGACTGGGAAATAAAGAATCAAGATGTATCGTGTACAGACGATGTTGTGGCACACACCTATCATCCCAGCACTCTGGAGGCTGACGCAGGAGAACTGCTATGAGTTCAAGGCCAGCCTGGGCTACAGGAGTTCAAGGCCGGTCTACAGTATGTATTGAGACCCTGTCTCAAAAGCAACATAAAGGGCTTAGGAGATGGCTCAGTGCAATAAGCGCTTGTCTAGCACACACGGGGGCCTGAGATCAGTCCTCGCTTCTGAAAAAAACAAACCTTCAAATTAAAAAATATATATATCTTTTGAACTTTTGGGGGGCCTGCCCATTAGCTCATCTGTTTAAGTGACTGCTTTAAAAAAGCAGTCAAGGGGCCCGCCCATTAGCTCAGTTGCTTAAGTGCCTGCTTAAACGAAGCAGTCAGTCTCTGGGCGCGGTGGTTCGATTCCCAGATACTGAAGGCAACCCAGACCAGCGCTGGAGGCAATCTGGAGCCGCCAAAAAAAATAAAAAAATAAAAAAGCAGTCAGGCCTGATGCTGTGGTTCGATCCCCAGATCCTCAAGCCTTGCCAGACCTGCCCCGAAGGCACCCTGAGCCAGCCCCTCAAAAAAAAAAACAAATCCTTCAAAAGCAACATAAAGGGCCGGGGAGATGGCTCAGTAGAATAAGTGCTTCTCTGGCAAGCGTAAGGGTCTGAGTTCAATCCCTGGTTCCGGAAAAAAAAAATCTCAGACACAAAAGGAAATACATCAAAAACAACATAAGAAAAGAGATATACCATATACAGGTACAAATTCCCTATGATGAATGTTAACACTGTGTATATCTAAAACATACCAATAGGGGCTGGGGGGATAGCTCAATCAAATAAGTGCTTGCCTGGCAAGCACAAGGTCCTGAGTTCAATCCCCAGTACTGCAATAAATAAATAAATAAATAAAATATACCAATAAAATAAACTTTAAAAAAAAGAAAAGAAAAAGACAGGGTCTCACTAAGTAACAAAAGTGCCCAGTCTGGGTTTGAACTTTTGATCCTTCTGCCTCAGCCTCCTGAGTGCTAGGATTACAGGCATGTATCATTAGGCTGGGCACTTTTGTTGTTGATGGCCAAGGGAGGGGCTGGTGAAGCATGTGTTGTCCAAGGATGGGACCACCGTCCCTGCGCTTGCCTAAACGGGCACCTTAGTCCACTGAGCCATCTTGCCAGCCCAGTAGTGTATCTTTTCTTTCTTTCTTACTTTCTTAATGTATTTAGCACAGGGTCTACAGGGTCTCACTACACAGATCCAACTTGTTGTGATCCTCCTGTTTTCAGCCTCCTAAGTACTGGGATTACAGATGCATGCCACTGTACACAGTCTCAGTACCCATCTCAGCACGCCCCAGGGACAGGGCCAGCAAAGCATGCCAGGGATTGAATCCCATCTCTGTGCTGCTTGCAGGCACTTTACTCCACTGAGCTATCTGGCCAGCCCCCAGTAGTGTATCTGTGCTGAATTAAATTTTTTAAAAAATTTAGGGGCTGGGGAGATGGCTCAGTAGGATAAGTGCTTGACTGGCAAATGCAAGGATCTGAGTTCAATCCCCAGTTCCGCCAAAAAAAAAAAAAAAATTAAAGTCACCATTTTTCAATTATACATATGTGTGGCTATCGACCTATCTACATACACATTTCTATAGTGCCATTTATAAAGCAAAGCTAATTTGAGGGTACCAGAGAGTTTATCCAGGCTCAGACAAGGGTGAGGGTTCTCTAAGGTGTCCCTACTTTCCCTTCTGCAGCCTGCAGCCACACTAAATCCCTGCATTCCTACTACCCCTTCCTCACACTTACGTTCTCTGCTTCCCAATGCCAAGGACCTTGTAGCAATTGATCAATTTAAAACACCAGGGATGTTCAAAATGAGTCCTTCCTGGGCTCCTTAGCCTTGACTGTGACCCTGAGTAACTATTATTCCTCAGCAAGTGCTACCAGTGCCTTCTTTCCAGCAAAGTGGCCCCATTCTGCTCATTCACTGGCTCCCTGGCATGGTCTGAGTCACCCCAGCTCCTGCAGTCATGGTGGACACAGCCCTCTTGCCTGATTGTGGGCTTTTCTTCTTGCCCCTTGCTGATGAAGCCTTATTCCTCGCCACAGCCAGAACATGCTTTTTTTTTTTTTTTTGCAGAACCGGGGATTGAACTCAGGCCCTTGCGCATGCCAGAGAAGCGCTTATTCCACTGAGCCATCTCCCCAGCCCCAAAATTATCAA